CTCTCTAGCCCCAGAATTTTAAAATGTACATATAGTGGCTAGGGAAATGGCTAGGAGATAAAGGTGCTTGTCACCAAGTTTGTCAACCTAAGTTGAATCCTTGGAACACACATGGTATAAGGAGAGGACCAAGTCATGCAGGTTGTACTCTGACTTCTACGTGTATATACCATGGCACCTGAGTACACACATGTAAATTTGATAGTTTTTGTTTCTTTTTCTTTTTTTAAACATACTTTTTAAAATTGATTCTTTGAGAATTTCACATCATGCACCCCAGTGTCCCTCATTTCCCCATCCATCCATATCCGCCCTCCACCATTGTAGCCTACCCCCCAAAAGAAAATAAAATATTTTATTCAACTAAAATCTTGCCAACCCTTGTGGGCAGTGGCTTCTCCTCAGTAGTCGCAGCCTTCTCTCGTTCCAGCCCCAGCCGTCTCCCCCAGCTCTGCCAAACTTGTACCTCTCCACTCCTCCACCTTCCCTGCCTCTCCACACATTCATTCATAGTGACGGTGGAAGCTACGGCGTGTCTCACAGCATAGCCTTTTGCCCAAACAACTTCACTTGCAAATGTTCATTGCAGTGAGTCAGTGTGGTTCAGGGCCTCAGGCTTCTGCTACACTGCTGATACTGGACCCTAGCTGTATCTGGGATGTCTTCCTGTTGCCCTGTGTCATGGAGATCCTGCAGTTATGATTTGGCAGGATGGGCCTTTTCAGGCACTCCAGCCGGCAGCACATAGATGGGATAGATGTTGGGATGAGCCAACTCAAAGCCCTGAATCTGGGCCTTGGTGGTAGCTGAGTTGGTCAGCCAGGTCTCCGCAGCTCCTCCTGTGCTACTGTTGTAGTGGCTAGCTCTTCTGTGGCCGGCAAGGGGCAGGGCCAGCTTGGACATCAACATGACTTCAAGTGGCAGCCCAGACCACAGACATCCTTGTGGTCATTGGTGGTAACATGGGTGGACCTCGGACATCAACAGAGACCCCAGCTGAAGCAGGGCCATGGACCCAAACATGGCCTTAGGCAGTAGCCAGGCCTGGATATTACCATGGCCTCAGGTGGCTATGCAGACTTCTCATATTTACAAGTTCCTCACCACTGTAGCATCTCCAGATCCAACTCTCTGCACAGTGCATGAAGCACTCCCCTTCGTTCTCTGTCTCTCCACCATGTACCCTGTCTTTCCATCTCATCATGGTGGCACCTGCTGCTCAAGGGCGGGCACTGGAGGGACTTCTGGCTGCCCCAGTAGTTTTCCCTTAAATAGGACTTTGTTTTCAGCTTTAAGTGAAATAGTATTTACTCCTTTACTCAACATGTTTAGTTTTGAAATTCATCTTTTTTGATTCATATGTGCTTATGTAGTTTAAAAATATTTCTTATGTTGTTGTATCTTTTTCCTTAGTTTGTCAGTATTGGTGATATCTTTATAACTCTCATTTTGTTCAAGTTACTCATAATTTTCCTCTCCTCTATTTTATTTCTGTTCTAATCTTTGTTTCTTTTTTTCATTTTTTAATCTTTGTTTTCTCTTACTAACTTTTTTTTAACTCTGTAATTCAGTATTAAACACAGAGCCTTGGTCATGGTTGGTAAGTGTCCTTCCACTAAGTAGAGCACTTTTTTTTCCTTGCTGTTCTGGAACTTGCTTTTAGACCAGGCTGCCTCTGCCTTCCAAGTGCTGGGATCAAAGGCATGCGCCGACACCACCTGGGGAGTAGAGCACTTTTTAAACTTGTTATCTTGAGATAGTCTCACTGTAGCCCAGGCAGACATTGAACTTGCTATCCTCCTGCCTCAACCTCCCAAGTAGCTGGAATTTCAGGGTTGTGTTTCTCTTAATGTAGGCATTTGCTTCACCTATACACTTCTTCCTTAGTATCCTTTGTTTTGTTCCTTACTTTTGGTGTGTTGTATTTTATTTTTGTTGATTCAATATAATTCCATAGCTTTTTAAAAATTTCTTCTTTTGACTCTGTTCACTGATCAGAAGTAGATTGTTTAATTTCTACATCTTCCTAAAGTCCTTAGTTTTCTATTGAATTCCAGTCTCTGTTGTGGTTGGAAAAGATGTGGTGTCATTTCAATATTGTTAGTGTGTGTGTGTGTGTGTGTGTGTGTGTGTGTGTGTGTGTGTGTGTGTGTGTGTAGTGAAGGTCCAAGGACAGCTTTGATGAACCAGTTCCCAAGGATGGAATCCCAGTCATCAGGACCAGGGGCAAGTGCTTTTATCTGCTGAGCCATCTTGTTAAATTTGTTAGGACTTGTTTTGTGACCTAACACGTAATGGATATATACTTTTCAGAAGAATTAGCGTTCTGCTACTGTTCTGTGGAATGTTATATGTGTGCCTCTTTAGACTTCCAGATTTGGGGTTGTTAAGGTTTTCTATTTCCTTATTGATTTTCTGTCTGGATCTTATTGATTTGTTGAAGCTTTGGTATTTCAATCTCCAATTACCATGTTGTTATGTTCTGTCAGTATTCGTTTAGAATACTTGGGTTTTCTTACATAGGCTGATATAAATGCCTCTGTCTTAACATGTTAGTTCCAGGGTACCTAGGCAATATTGATTTTTTTTATTTTATATGATGTGTACGTGTGCTCTGTGTGTGTGTGTGTGTGTTGTGCCGTGTGATGTGATGTGTGCATGTATGTGTGTGTGATGCTCTGTATGTGTCATGTGCTGTGTGAGTATATGATGTGTTGTACATGCTGTGTGTGTAATGTGATGTGTATGTGATGTGCGCTGGTATGCATATACCACAGTAAGTGTATGGAGATCAGAGGACAACTTTTAGAAGTCAGTTCTCTCCTTCCATCTTGGCTTCTGGAGATTGAATTCAGTCTTGCACAGGAAGCACTTTTACCCTGTCAACCATCTCACCAGATCAAGATTAATTTCTGCATAACATGAAGACGTGTATTCAAGTTACAAACTTTTCACTAACAGTAGGTTTCTCTCTGTGTGTGTGTGTGTGTGTGTGTGTGTGTGTGTGTGTGTGTGTGTGTGTGTGATTTCTTTGTAGACAAGGCTGGCCTCAAACTCACAGAGATCCACCTGCCTATGCCTCCCAAGTGCTAGAATTAAAAACATACCACCACCACCCAGCCACAATAAGGTTTTCATACAAACTGGAAAAATGAGATCTGTGTTTGGTGTTCTCTGTTTCTCCTTTTTTTCTCCCACCTAGTCTCTAGATTACAATCTTAGTCATATAATTATGATAAACTGACAATTTAGTTTAAAAATCATGTGAAATCAGTAAAATCAGGTATGTCAGTAAGCTCAGACGAGTTTTAACACCACTCTCTTGTTTTGTGGTACGAGAGGTTGGACATTGGATCTTGGAACATGGCAGGCAAATCTACCTCTGAGCCTTATCCCCAACTTTTCTTCCTTCTTATTTTGAGACACAGCTTCACTAAATTGCTTTGACCTTGAACTCATTCTGTAATCCAGGCAAGCCTTGGACTCATCATCTTCTTGCCTCATCCTGTTTTTTATCTAGAATTGAAGCCTATATTACCAAACACAAGCGAATTTTTGTTTGTAATGTGAAAAAACTCTTCAGTGGAAATTTTGCGTTGACTGCTTCTTTGTTATTTCTTAAGCTTTTCTTTTTCTACTCTGTGCATTGTGTATACATGTCTTACCTGAGTAGAGTGAGTTGGCCAGGATCTTGGAACACTTATCACCTGAAGTTTGGTAGTTGTTGTTATCCCTGAGTCCAGAAATCAATGATGAAACATTATCTTTGTTTTTAAATTCAAATAAAATGGTATATCATTGTATTAAATTCCATTAAGTATCAGCAATTATGGAATCTTGTCAGATATTTCATCTGGTTTCCTTTACTCTAGAGATAGTATTTTTATCCAGTTCTACACTAGCTATTCTGTAGAGAAATTTAAGTAATTTAATATTGTTCTATACTTCATTGATTTTTTTTTAAATATCAATCTTTTCCTATCAGTTAAACATCCATTTTGACTTTTTCAAGGAGGTTTTCGTACCTTCTCTTAACACAAGACTTTTATTTCAAAGCAGTGGATATTCAAAAATCAAATTCTAGCAGCCAATTCATGAGACATTTCAAATAGAAAATACTTTCAGATGATGACAGTCCTATAATTATTGTTTGTTTGTTTTTTGATTGTTTTTGGCTTTTTCGAGATTTCAGGACAGGGTTTCTCTGTGTACCCCTGGCTGTCCTGGAACTCTCTTTGTAGACCAATCTTGTCTAGAACTCACAGAGGCCTGCCTCTGCCTGCTCAGTGCTGGAATTAAAGGCAAGTGCTATCACCGCCTCCGGTGACAGTCCTATAATTTTTAACATATTATAGTGTTATGGGGGAAATTAAGTTATTGATCAACCCTAATCATTGAGTAAATAGCACTGATAGGAAATTTGGTTTACATTCTTTTAAATTTTATTTATAAGACCAATAAATTATCTTAAGAAAATAAATGAGGTTTTGTTCATTATAGAGAACTTCAGTTGGTTTCTTGGTACTTAGTTACATTGTAATAACTAGTACACAGTGCAGTAGAACTCATGACATTCAAAAATGGTTAAAAATTATTGTCTCTACACCTGACTTTTGTCTTTTTAATTTACTTAGTTCTTTATTAATTTTTGCTTGTTTGCATTTGCTGTATTTCATTTCTTACCATATTGAAACAATGCCTAACTCTATGTTCAAATTTTTAAAATAACATATATTTAAGATATTGATGTATTTCCAAGTATTATTCTTGCTTTACTGTATATGTTTTACTGTATTCCTCTCTCACCCATGTTTTTAAGATTGTTTTAAGGTTGGGCTCTTCACTGACTCTTATTTTTAATCTAACAATACATTAATAGAATGTGTATTCATTATGATACAGGTCGAAATTTGATTTTTTTTATTCTGGCATTTGTAATTTACAAATAAGGATCTTTGTTCAGCTAGCCTGCAGAATTAATTTTCCCCATCTCTTTTTAGCTATTAGAGAAATTAAGAGAACGTTGGGTTTCCACTGGCTTATGGCATAATTTGGAGTCAGTGAAGACAGTCATTGCAGAACCCCAAAGAGGAGAAAAAACTGATTTTGATGAATTGCTGCAGGTGTACTACGATGCCATCAAGTTCAAAGGAGAAAAAGGTCATTTGTAACACGAAAGATAAAGAGTCATGATGTTGGGGTTCAGACTTTAAGCTGAAGATCACAGAAGCAAAGCAGCCAAGCCACTAACTCTTCCCTCTATCTCAGACTGAAAGGACTGTCCTGTCCTCAGTGTGGTCAGAGAATAAATCTCCCCACCAAGCCTCAGACTGCAATCCCAGACTGCTGCCTCTTCCTTTTATACCTCTCAAATCCTGGGATTAAAGGCATGTGATCCCAAGTGCTGAGATCACTTTTGAGTGAGCTGTTTCCCTTTAGGATTGGCTTAATTTTATGTAGCTCTGTGGCATTCAACTAACAGAGATCCATCTGCTTGTTTCTTTGAGTCCTGGAATTAAAAGTGTTTGCCACTACCGCGTGGCTCTGTGGCTAGCTAAAATGGCTGCTGGGATTAGAGATGTGTATCACCACTGCCTGGCTCTATGGCATGTGCTTTCAGTACTCTCAAGCAAGCTTTAATAAATCATAAATAATATATCCCCACAGTAATTGGAAATAATTTCATGGTCAGTGAAAAGGCTTTTTAAACTGTAAAGCAAGGAGTATTTGGTGGTTTGTTTTTGTTTTTTGTTTTTTTGGTTTTTACGAGACAGGGTTTCTCTGTATTGTTTTGGAGGCTGTCGGTCCAGCCCGGCCTCGAACTCACAGAGATCCTCCTGCCTGTGCCTCCTGAGTGCTGGGATTAAAGGCGTGTGCCACCACCGCCCAGCCATTTGGTGTTATTAAAATGGTTCACATACTGACATTCTCTTTCAAGACAAACCAGAAACAAACAAAAACTCAGGCACAGCATTGCAGAGGCTGCTGCAGGAAGATTGCTGCATAGAGGAGGCTGTATTTGTGCTGGTAAAAGTAATGATTGGATTTCAGTTTCTTAGTTAACGCTTGTTCATTTAATTTCCTGCTGCTACTCTGTGCTGTGTGTAAGTAACCTTTTATTTTGTTTTATATTTATTTTGATTTTTCTAGACAGGGTTTCTCTGTGTAACAACCCTGGCTGTCCTGGAACTTGCTTTGTATTTTGTAGACCTGGCTGGTCATGAATTCAGAGATTTGCCTGCCTCTTCATCCTGAGTGCTGGGATTAAAGATATGCGCCACCATACCTGGCTTTAAATAACTTCAAAAATGAACAGTTTGTAAATTGATTTGCTGCCATTTCCATCTAATTTTTTCCTTACTTATTTAAAGATAATGAGATTTAAAAACTGTCTCATAAAGTAATCCCTGACGGTTTTAAATTTACTAAAAATACTTAAGAATAAACGATGTCAGAGAATTTTGAGCTTGCTTTTTAACAATGTTGACTTCTTGTGCTTAAGATGGAGCCCTTCTCATAGCGGTGTGTCGTGGCAAAGTGAGCGAGGGTCTGGATTTCTCCGATGATAATGCCCGTGCTGTCGTAACAGTAGGAATTCCTTTTCCAAATGTGAAAGATCTTCAGGTAAGTCATAGAATCCTCAAGGAGCTCCATCCATGAGCTCTATGTAGCGTTAACTCTATGTTTTCCTTCAGTCGCTGGAGAATCTGAATGAATGAGAGTGTTCTATGAGGAAACGTTTACTTGTAGCATATTCTTTTGTTCAGCAGAAGCGGTTTTGAAAGTGGGGCCTCAGTCGGGCAGTGGTGGCGCACGCCTTTAATCCCAGCACTCCGGAAGCAGAGGCAGGCGGATCTCTGTGAGTTCAAGACCAGCCTGGTCTGTAAGAGCGAGTTCCAGGACAGGCTTTAAAACTACACAGAGAAACCCTGTCTTGAGAAAAACAAAAACAACAAAAAAAGCAAAGTAAAGTAGGAAACATTTGGATGAGTTGGTTTGACTGGGCATGTTAATTAGGGTAGCCAAAAGGGGACTTTTGATTGCTGGACTTCAAAAGATGAACCTTGCTTGTCAGCCTCAGGAGGAAGTGACCAAATAAGGGAATAGACACTGGTGGCTAGTTTTAGGAATGTAATCTAACAATTTTAGCAAGGAAGAGGGTTAAGAGGCAAACCCTGTTGTTGCCATGTTTGCTGTGCTTGGGCATCTACACCTTGAAAATGTTTTCTCTGTTTTGCTCTAATTTTACTGTTCCTCTAAACAGAAGAGTCATTCCTAAAGCAGTTACTTCATCTAGACCAGCATTCACAACTTGTGGGTTACAACCCCTTTCACAAAGCTCCATCTACAAAAATATTTACATTACAGTAGCAATTATTAACAATTACTGTTATGAAGTAGTATTGCATTACAAAAATCATTTTATGGTTGGGGATTGATCACCACAACATGAGGAACTGTGTTAAAGAGTCACAGCATTGTTTATTCATAGTAAGTGCTAAGGGGATGTGTTAGGCTTCTCCAGAGAAACAGAACCGCCTGAAAAGAATGTGCATGTGCGTGTCTGTATGTGTGCACATAGGTACTTGCATGTGGTTATATTGAGTCAGTTACAGGAGCTAGCTGAAAAGGCCAACCAAGGCTAAATGCAAGCTGATTGCATGGCTCAGTTCAAGAAGACGGGGGCTGCAGAGATGGCACAGTGGTTAAGAGCACTGGCTGTTTTTCCAGAGGACCTGGGTTCAATTCCCAGAACCCACGTGGCAAGTCACAACTGTCTGTAACTACAGTTCCAGAGGATCCAACACCCTCACACAGGCATGAATGCAGACAAAACACCAATGCACATGAAAGAAAATTAAATAAAATCTATTTTTAAAAAAAGACAAAGCTGAAAGACTTAGACTCCCAGGTGTTGATGATGTAGCTCCATCCAAGGCCAAAGGCCAACCACCCCACCCCTCATCCCCAGGATCAGTCTGTGCAAGTTCCAGGGTCCAAAGGTCAAAGAACTTGCCATCTGACGTCCAAAAGTAAAAATAATAGAAAAACATGTCAGCTTCAGAGGGACAGCTAGAGAAAAGCTAGAGAGTTTTCTCTCTTTGCCTGTAATTCTTGGTGGCCCACAACTGAACCTCTTCCTCACTGGATTTGGTGACCCACAAACCAGTATCTGGGCATAGGTTAGATACCCAGAAATAGTGACTTTCTAGGCATCCTTCAAATTACTCAAGTCAACATCCAAAGTTAGTACCACAGCTGGCACTAGCATCTCTCAGGAAGAGTTTCCTTTTGTTTCCCACAGGCATTTGAAGGTGCTAGCAACGAGAGCAAGACTTGGTATCTCCTAGCCACTGAACTGGCCCACCGAGTATGATCTGTTTCTCTACTCCCAGGGTACGGCCAGTTAAGGTAGCAGGCCAAAATAGGAGTTCTTTCTGCAGTGTAGTTACCTTCACTATTGTTAGTGTGTTAGTAAGCACTGTAAACTATACAGCTACTTTCAGTTCTCTAGAGTAGAGCGGTTTGGGGCTGACATTAACAATAAATACACAGTAGTTCTTTAATCAGCTCCTACTCTTCAGAAAACCCCTGAACTTCAAAGTTTCTATGTCCTCAGGAGGGAGTGTCATCCAGTCACTCATGATCGAATCCTTCTAGAGTTTGCTGGCCTTGACAGCCTCTACTGTCCACAACTACCAGCGTTCCTTTTGCCAGCATGCTAGGCTGGGTCTGCTATTCTGAAATAACTGTTGTGGGGTGACATATGCTCTGGAATGCCCTATATTCACCATCAGCAGCTTTCAAGCTAAATTCTGCAGAAGCCTAGCTCTGCTGTTGGCCCAACTTTGTGGTTACCTATTGATGGCCTACAGATGTCCTGTCCTCTTACCCTGGCCCTGCAGTGTTGTATGAATGCACTTTTGTTACATGCAGACAGCCTCTTTCATCTCATACACTACATATTCCTTTTCTAGCATCTTAAATGTATTTCCCCTTATACGGATTCTTTCCAATTTTTTTCTCATACTCGTTCTAAGTCTTGGACCTTCACACATTTTTCAGAAATGGAAAAGATGACAAACTTCATGGCTAATACTAGGCTACACTGAGTATTATACTTACAAAGTAGTGAAGCCCAAAAGTATTCATGTCAGACTTAACAATGCTCAATACATTTGAGAAGAGAAAGTAACTATCAAAAGGTACATTATCATTTCCCATAATTTTTAGTAAAAAAAATTTTCAAAAATGCTAAACATATTTGTTATATTATTCTTTGCTAGTTTTCAAAAATTCTTTTAAAAATCCTTTATTTCTTTTCGTTTTATCTACCTTCACTCCAACAATTGTATTCTGGACCTTGCTGTTATACAAAACTTGAGTTGTTAATATTTTCTTTCTCTGTTAATCAGTTTTCCTGTCCTCTACCCCTCCCTTCCTTCCTTTTGGGTGTGGTATGGTGTGTATGCACATGTGAGTATATGCCTGTGTCTGCATATGCAGGAGCCACAGAAGACATCAGGAGTCTTCTCTATCACTCTCTGCCTTACTTTCTTAAGACAGTGTCTCTCACTGAGCCTGAAGCTCACTGTTTTGGCTGGCTGGCCCCAGAGCTCTAAGAATTCACCTGTCTCCCCCCGCATTTAGGTGTCAGGCATGTGTGACCATGCCTGGCTTTTTATATGGGTGCTAGGCATTACAATTCAAGTCTTCTTGCTTGCATAACAAATGCTTTTACCATCTCTCCTCCAGCTCCAGTAGTATTTTCGTTTTCAACAATATCAGATGTAAAGGAAATGTATTTCACATGGTCATATGTCTGGATCAGTCCTGTGTAACAAATACAAACCTTAGTGATTTGAAGTAGTAATTATTTATTATAGATCACACATCTACAGAGTGTGACTGACCAGCACCACTTACTGAAAAATATTTATTTGTATACCACAATGGAGTGTGAAAGAAATACAAATTTTCATGTTTTGGTAAAATCCAGTTAGGAAATAGCTAGCAAATCCAAAGTCATGAAAAGTTTGCCACAAATATTTTCGTCTGTTTTTTATGTAAATTTTAAATTTAAGTATATGATCCCTGGTGAATAGATTTTTATATTCAATACAAAATGAACATCCAACTTTTTTATATCAAAAGTGAGTCCTTTATAAACAACAAATGGTGATAGAATTTTTTTTCAATTCATCCTGCCAATCTCGGTCCTTCAATTACAGAGTTTAACCCATTTGTATTTAATGTAGTTAGTAGTGAGGAAGAACTTGCCATTGGCTATTTGTTTCTGTGTCTTGTAGTTTTTGTTCTGTAGATCCTTCACTCTTGCCCTTTTTGTGTTCAGTTACTTTATAGTCCACCAGAGGTTGAATGTCCTATATCCAAAATGCTTGGGGCTAAAGGTGTTTCATATTTTCAGACTTTCCTGTGAGCATCCCTCATCTAAAAATCTGAATGCTCTGAACACTGAAACTTCCTGAACTCCGAGTTATCATGTTTCAGACTTCAGGGATCCCAGCCTGTATTTTAATCCCCTGCTCCCTTTTGTAGGTTTTAGTCATCTTGTTAATGTTTATGTTGAGAGTTACTACTATACAGAGATTCACCTGCCTCTGTATCCCAGAGTGCTGGGATTAAAAGTGTGTGTCTCCACACCCAACTATTACTTTTTAATTTGTCTTTTCTTCTAATTAAAATATAATTACATCATCTCCTTCCTCCAACCCTTCAAATGCCCCCTCCATTCCCTTTTAAACTTATGACCTTGTATTCTTTAATTATTATTGTTATATATGTGCACACGCATAAGTATGCAAGTGTAACCTGAGTCTGGTTAGTGTTACTTGAACCTATTTTAGGACTGGCCACTTAGGATTGAATAATTATTTTTTAAAGATTTATTTGTTATGTATGCGTGTAGGTGGTGTGAGCCACCATGTGGATGACGGGAATTGAACTCAGCATCTCTGGAAGATCAGCCAGTGCTCTTAACCTCTGTGCCATCTCTCCAGCCCAACTATATATATATTTTAAGACAAGAATCTAACTATGTAGGCTTGGCAGGTTAGAACTTTCTTTTTCTTTTTTCTTTTTTTTTTTTGTTTTTTGTTTTTTGTTTTTTTTGTTTTTTGTTTTTGTTTTTCGAGACAGGGTTTCTCTGTGGCTTTGGAGGATGTCCTGGAACTCGCTTGGTAGTCCAGGCTGGTCTCGAACTCACAGAGATCCACCTGCCTCTGCCTCCCGAGTGCTGGGATTAAAGGTGTGCGCCACCAACGCCCGGCGGCTTAAAACTTTCTATGTAGACCAGGCTGTCTTCAAACTCAAAAGTCTATCTACCTCAGTCTTCTGAATGTCAGGACACCACACAAGCCTTTATTACTTCCTAAAGCACATACCCAAGGATTCATTCATTGTGTTTACTGTTTTTGTCTTATGATCTGCCAGATGGTTTACACTGAAGATTCTCAGGGTTCCATAGGCTATAGTTGGGGATCCACTTCCAAACTCATTCAGGTTAATTGGTAGAGTCCAGTGCCTTGTGGTTAGGAGACTGAGAATCTTTAGAACTCAGGAACCGCCTTAGTTTCTTGGGAACTACTCCGAGTTGCTGCTAT